TTTTTAGGATATTAAGATAAAACTTACAAAAACTATAATTTTCCCTTATGAATTTTATTTTGTTATTTATTTCGAGTATATGATTTACAAAATCTTATAGACTAAATAACAACAATTAATAAATTGAAAATTTACGAATAAAGAGTAAACAAAATTTTTTTAAATTTCTATACGATTAGCGAATATGTTGACATAATTGTCTTTACATAAAGCATTGAGCTCACTCATTACCCTAATAACTGCTTGATTTAGAGCATATTTGGTTTTACAAAAATCAATCGCAAACAAATCATGTTGACAAAGCATTCTCATTAGAGCATTAAGTTTAATGAGATCGAAAAGGACAGGGCAGTCAATTGCTCCACTCAAAACATCATGTAAGAACATTAGGCCAAAAATAATCCGTCTACTGCGAAGTGTATGTAAACTTATAAGTTTGCAACGCGAAATATGTGGAGGAGAAGGGTTTTCAAACGTAATTTGGGCTGGACCGAATTTTAAAAAGCTTTTCTGAACCCGTTCTATCCTCTTACGGTGAATTTCTTAAGTACGATTCCATATGAGAGAGGCATATTCAAGTTTAGACCTAACAAAGGCAGAATATAAAATCTTTCTTGTATACGGGTCTTTAAATTCTTCACTATTTCAACTCTTCATTACTTCAGCAACCAAGTGAAAAATACAAACAAGTAATTTTTAGCAAAAAAAACCGACTTCAACTCTTATATAAAATATATATATATATATATATNACGCGAAATATGTGGAGGAGAAGGGTTTTCAAACGTAATTTGGGCTGGACCGAATTTTAAAAAGCTTTTCTGAACCCGTTCTATCCTCTTACGGTGAATTTCTTAAGTACGATTCCATATGAGAGAGGCATATTCAAGTTTAGACCTAACAAAGGCAGAATATAAAATCTTCCTTGTATACGGGTCTTTAAATTCTTCACTATTTCAACTCTTCATTACTTCCAAGTGAAAAATACAAACAAGTAATTTTTAGCAAAAAAAAAACCGACTTCAACTCCCATATAAAAAAAATATATATATATATATATCTCATGATCCACTGATCGGATCTTAACCAGATTAGTATGAGACCACCTCTGAGACACTACCTTTCCGATCCAAAAAGCATTATCGAAATCGGTTGACGTAGTCCAAAGTTATGCGGTAACATACTTAAAAAAATAAAAATTCCGACGAACTGATAACCTCCTCCTTTTTTGGAAGTCGGTTAAAAAGGTAGACGAGATTTATTTCAAACGTTTTAATGTTTTCGGATGTTTGTGTATATTACAAGTAATTTTTAGCAAAAAAAAACCGACTTCAACTCCCATATAAAAAAAATATATATATATATATCTCATGATCCACTGATCGGATCTCAACCAGATTAGTATGGGACCACCTCTGAGACACTACCTTTCCGATCCAAAAAGCATTATCGAAATCGGTTGACGTAGTCCAAAGTTATGCGGTAACATACTTAAAAAAATAAAAATTCCGACGAACTGATAACCTCCTCCTTTTTTGGAAGTCGGTTAAAAAGGTAGACGAGATTTATTTCAAACGTTTTAATGTTTTCGGATGTTTGTGTATATTACAAGTAATTTTTAGCAAAAAAAAACCGACTTCAACTCCCATATAAAAAAAATATATATATATATATATCTCATGATCCACTGATCGGATCTCAACCAGATTAGTATGGGACCACCTCTGAGACACTACCTTTCCGATGCAAAAATTGAAAATGAATTATCGAAATCGGTTGACGCGATCCAAAGTTATGCGGTAACATACATAAAAAAAAAAAAAAAAAATATTCCGACGAACTGATAACCTCCTCCTTTTTTGGAAGTCGGTTAAAAAGGACCATGAATGAAGTCAAACATGTATTGTCAAAGATTAGGAATCGTTTGATAAGTTAATAGTAGATTCAAGCATATGAGTATTTCCATACATTAAAATAATACAACTACTTAGGGTGAGAAACCACATTTTAAGTCCATTTATGCAGCCTTGAAAAGCACATTTTTGCGGTTTCTAAATTTGTCGTATAATGAAAGTAGGGGGGCGGACGTTCAATAAATGTTTAGATNATGAATGAAGTCAAACATGTATTGTCAAAGATTAGGAACCGTTTGATAAGTTAATAGTAGATTCAAGCATATGAGTATTTCCATACATTAAAATAATACAACTACTTAGGGTGAGAAACCCCATTTTAAGTCCATTTATGCAGCCTTGAAAAGCACATTTTTGCGGTTTCTAAATTTGTCGTATAATGAAAGTAGGGGGGCGGACGTTCAATAAATGTTTAGATATACAAAAATATTTGAGTTAATTTCATTATGTGAAAAAGTGACTGTAAGTAAAGGCAATAGTCTTTAAACATATACTGGGAAATCCTGTTGAGGACTCCTCAATTGGACGATATTNCCATTATGTGAAAAAGTGACTGTAAGTAAACATATACTGGGAAATCCTGTTGAGGACTCCTCAATTGGACGATATTGCTTTGCATTCCAGTGTTGCCAGAGAAAGTTCCCTAAAAATCTTAATTTTTTCAAAAAAAAAATCTTCAAAATAAGATTTTAAAGCTAAAAAAATCTTTTCGATCCCAAAAAATCTTCATTTAAATATACCTAAAAAGGAACACAAAATTCGATATTGTCTTTACGGCTGTAAATATCCCTTTATTATGTTGATTGAAAAAATTACCAATTTCAAGTTATAAAGTCCTTTTTATAACAACTTAAACTTAAAATGAATATTGCCTCGTATCATCACAAAATTTGTAGCTCAGTTAACATATGTATATATACACTGGCGAAAATATAAATAGGAACGCGACATTTTGCAAGTTTTGACCGACTTCAAAAAAGGAGGAGTTTATCAATTCCTGCAAATATTTTTGTTATGTATATATGTTACCGCATAACTTTGGACTACTTGAACTGATTTCGATAATTCCTTTTTATCGGAAAGGTGGTACCTAGATACGGTCATTGAATCATGAGGAAATTGACGATCAATTTTTATATTACAATCTTCGTACAAAAGTTAAGAAAATACGACAGAGTTCCGTAACAATTTTGAGCTTTTTAATTCGATTTTTTATTGATATTTTTACATGGCGTTGTTTTATAAATCTCACCGCCCCTTTTTATACCCGAGCGCACTTGTGCACAAGGGTATATTAATTCTGTTCACATAACGGTTGTTTGTAACAGCCAAAACGAATCGAGATAGATATAGACAAATGTATACATAAATGATCAGGATGAAAAAAGAAATCGATTAAGCCATGTCTGTCT